AAAAAAAAAAAAAAGGAAAAAAAAAACGCAGCCTCAAGCAAGTATTCCGAAACCTTCTTCACCATTAGAGGAAAAACAGAAATCCTATTAAAGCTAACCACCGATTACACTGATTAATTACGAAATTACAAAGTAATAACAGCAATTTGATTCAACATTCCCACAAACGAACCTTGGCGAGCAGGAGCTGGTAAATTTTGTCCAGCAAACGCAGGCGATGAGCGGCGTAGCTGCTGTTGGGCGGCAACCGGCGCATCCTCTTCATCTCCTCCGCAATCGCGGCCTTCTTCTCCTCGTGCCCCGCCGTCTGCTTCCAGACGATCCCGGGTTTAGCAACGTCCGACCCGGATCCGGCGTACTCTGGCTCCATAGCTTGGCCCAACCCTTTCGTTGAGTAATCTCGCACGAGAAGAACAAATGGTCGTCTTTGGAAAGGTCCTCGAAAACAAGAAATAGGGATAGGACGATGTTGAAATATTGAAGAATTTATAACGGGCGATGGATTTAAGTGGGGGCTTTATCAGAATTTGGGCCGATCCAAATGTTCGTCTTGACGTTGGCCCTACGAATAAAATCATACTGTAAATTAGCAAAAATAAATAAATAAATAAATAGCAACACAAAAATATTATTTTAATATCAAACTTTTTTATCGTTGAATTACACACACTTGCATGAGTTTGTGTAGATCCAACGATAGAATTTTAATAAGGACTTTAGGGTCAAATTTTCTACCATTAGTCGAGCGCCTAGCTAGTTAAGACAAAGACATTCCTTAATATTCGTGGGTATATAAAATTTAAGGAGCAATTGTGTATGTTAGATTAATTTCATGTTATTCTTGTTGAATATGTTAGGCAAAATTGCACCTCACATCACGACTTTTTTGACTTTTGCGTTTCTGTCACCACTTTGCGACCTTGGCAATTCGATACCCAACCTTTCGGTATTTTGCAAGACCAAGCATTGACCACATTACCGGCCGACCAATGCCAACCTGTCCGGCCATTTAATCCAACATGGCTCTGATGTTGACGACGTGGCTGAGGCAACATGTATATGTCAGCACCGCGACGTCGTTTCTTGCATCCAACAGCAGAACCCTTCAAATTTAAACCTAATCGACACCCAATTCAACACCCTTCAAATGAAAATCGACACCCAATTCAACCAAAAAACCCTTCAAATGAAAATCGACAGTCCCAATTTTTCCTCTGCAAATTCGAAATCCTTTTACGAACCTTAATTTCTTTGTAAATCCGAAGTTGATTCTTTGCAGCTGAAGGAACAATTTCTTGTCGAAGATAGGGTCGCAAGTCGTTAAGGAACAATTTAGGGATTTGTGATTTGAGTTTGGGGATGTTTCGGTTTTATAATAGTTGGATCAAAGAAACGACGTCGTTTTGCTGCATAACATGTTGCCTCAGCCACGTCGTCAACATCAAAGCCATGTTGGATTAAATGGCCGGACAGGTTGGCATTGGTCGGCCGGTAATGTGGTCAATGCTTGGTCTTGCAAAATACCGAAAGGTTGGGTATCGAATTGCCAAGGTCGCAAAGTGGTGACAAAAACGCAAAAGTCGAAAAGGTCGTGATGTGAGGTGCAATTTTGCCAATATGTTATATTAGATCTACAATTTGATGTAGCCTACCCTAAATGAATTGAACCTCAACGTCCAATTTTCACACAAATTTTGCTGTTCGAACAACTTGCAACGTGATGGGCGTCATCGTGATGTAAATATCTCCACGCTCAAGTTGGATAAATTATAAACAGAACAATGTCAAGATATGATTAAATAATCTTACAAGATATCTTATGCGGATATACCTAAAATGAAATGAAGATGATACTTATGTAAAGGTAGTTATCTACCTCTATAAGTTTCTTGGGATATAAAGAAACTCCCAAAATCCCGAACCTTCCATATATATTTATAAATGTTGTGAGATCTTACTATAAACAAACTTATGTAATGGTAGTTATCTACCACGGTAAGTTTCTTAGGATGTAAAGATACTCAGGCGCTCGTGAGCCGCTCGACTCAACCCTAGATGTGGTGATTGTCGGGTAACCGTGTTAGCAATTTGTCCATATATTTTTTTATTTTGTTTATGACATCACTTCTTACGTCATCCATTGCCTATGAAAAAAAAAAGCAGGAATAATGATTTTTGCATTATTGTATTGAACATGGATCAACATACGCTAACTATTGCATTGAACATTTATACACTAATTATTTATCGACCATTAATTAACATACAACATTCATAATTTATTTTCACTAATATTGATATGGGATACCACACCAGGTTAACTGGACCGATGAAACTAAGTAGTTAGATCGGATTAACACAACCGCGTGAGTCGCGATCGGAGATCGACTTGAAGGCAAAGATCATACATATGGTAACCTGAAAGGAGCAGCTTACTCTACGAGACGAACTGATACCGAACTCGACCTAAGGGACGTTTCGACTTCATGAGCAGTAGGGAGCTGGAGAAGAAAATATTCTACCTAATGTATATTCTACATGATGATGTGGATCGGGTCAATGAACTGGATAAAAAGGCATCTAATCTAACTCGGGAAAAAAGGGTTGTATAAGGATTAGACCACGTGTCGTAACGAGATTAAGTCGTCTGCACACCTGAAAAGTCTGACCGCTTGCAGCGATGTCCACCGTACATACTGGCAACTCGGGCAGCAGTGTCAACTCTCATAGCAGACTTGGAGAGCAAGACACCACATCCATATATAATAGGGTGTGGTATGTTAGTTATATTTTTACATTCTCTATACACTCTCATATATTTGATTATTGTTCATCATCTTCATCCATACACTAACTTAGGCATCAAAGACTCTTTGCCGAAAAATCTCCTTTTTCGGTGTCGTGTTTTTGTATGTTCGGAAGTCGTCCGAGGTAGAAGAAAACAGATCCTTGTCATGTTAGATCGAACCGAGGCCGAGCGAAGTCCACTTTACTATTAAATATTATTGCCCCTATTGTATATTATGAAACCCTTGTCATTTTCCTCAACCTCTAGATTCCATTTACTATTACATTATGTTCATGTTAAATAATTTTTTTAATTGCTTATATCACACACACACATACACACTAACACACACACACACACACACATATATATATATATTATTTTTTTTAAGATATGCTATTTAAATAACAAAACGGATATACATTTAAAAAAATCGTGCCTAGCTATAGCAATAGCATTACTCATCAATTTGTTTAAAATGTTTTTAATTGTATTTCAATTTCCTGCTATTTATTTAGTTGTTGCTAATATTTTTTAGTAATAGTGATTCCCATTTTTTTTAATCATTGATCCATTCATATATTTGTTTATTATTTTAATATGGTATTTAAGTACTGTTGTCATTACAGTTATAAATACAACCCTACAATAGTACTAATCATATTCAATTGCTTAAACATTCTTAACTTTTATTATCGGTTCAATATTTTGTTCTGTCTAATATTTGTCTACTAGTGATTATCAAAAAAATATTATTATTAAACGGAGTGAATCATTATATTTTATGGATACAGAACTATTACGCTGGGGTTTGTAACCGTTAGATCATCATGTAACCGTCAGGGATAGTTGATCTAACGGTTACAAACTCCAACGAAATAGTTCCGTAACGGGACTGTAGCATCTCTCTATACTTTATTAACAATAATAAAGATTTATATTAAAATATATAAATTTTGTCCTTATATTATTTTTTTATAAAATAAATTTCAATATTAAAAGCATATATTTATTATAAACGTAGCTGAATATTAATTTAGATAAATATATTCCCCTGCCCACGGTGGGCAGTGCCCACTAATTTGTTTTATATGAAAAACGTATTCTGAAATTTAATTGAAAAACGTATTCTCAAAATACGTTTTTTATATAAAACAAACTAGTGGACACTGCCCACCGTGGGCAGGTGAGCGGGACTGTTAATTTAGAACTTCGCTAACAACATTATTCCTATCAATCTTTTAACCACCTAACCCATATGGTGAAAGACTAACTTCTAGCTGTTGGTGAATTTACTTCTATTTATTTTATTGTCTACACCAATGTAATTTTTATTTCACAACTACACACTAAGGCCGAAATTAGTCTATTATTTCTTAATTTATTCAGGACTTAATTTGTTCGTTTAATTAGCGTGAAATGTTTTGTTCATCTGTTCGTTTGTAAAAATTGTGAACAAACCACGGGTGTTAATATCCAACACATATAAAAACAAACTTTGTGGTCGATTATGTGGCGAGCATTCCGGAATCGTATCCGCTTGGTTTGCATTGCTTGGTCTTTCTATCGGCGGAACTAGGTTTTGGCTTGATCATGACATTATTGGGATGTCCTCTCCTGGTCGAGTACTAGCTTTGGCCTCTATTTTTGCTAAAAAAAAAAAAAATGAACAAATCAATAAACGTAAAAACAGTAATATAATAAAAGTCAAAGCAGATAAAAATCCTTCTCGCATATATCTCTCTTTTTCTTCCATTTATTCTTCACGCAATTTCACAGCGCTGTTCAATCTGAATCACGAGGCCTTCGCAGGGAGGAAAGAGGGGAGACCCATAAGATCTCAGCCGTACGATTCCATTTCTCTCCTCCTTCTCCTCCCCCATCCGCCGCTAATCGGGTCGGAAAATTTTCACCATGAACGGGAAGGCGAACGTTTCGAAGGAGCTGAATGCCAAGCATCGGAAGGTTTTTGCGCAACTTCTCGTTGTTTTTGAGCTAATTCCGTTAATTTATTGTCGTTGATGGCTTGTTTGTTGTTTCCTGATTTAGATTTGGATTTAAATTTGGTCGGCTTGTTTGTTTTTTATGCGTTTGTTATTTTGGGCGTATGTTCCAGCTGGTGATTGCACTTGCAGGTTGTGATTTTGTTGATTTAGAGAAGATGGAAAATTTTTTCACACTGTTTTTCATGTAACAAACTAACGATTTTTTCATTTTTTTTGTTTGTTGGGCAACTTCTGGTTAATTTTTTTGTCAATTCTGCTTCTTTCTTGTTGTTGATGGCGTTTATGTTGATCGATGCTGCCTCGTAATGTCTGTCCTGAATTGGATTTGGTATTATTGTTGCCTGTGTTTGTTGCTTTGGGCGGTTGAGAGTTGTGAGTTTGTTGCTAGGGTAAAAGAAACAGAGAAGTTGATTGAGAGAAGATGGAGTATTATGGCTGATTGTTTTTCGAGCAGCGTTATATTGAGGATTTATGGTATGAAGTATTGATTTATTCTTCGGGAGCTGAATACGAGGCCTGATTGTTCACGGGGTTGATTCAATTCATCCAACTGGAGGATGCTTATAATTTTGATTTTGGTTTTATCGAATACAGGAAATCAAACAATAATAATGCAATATGGTAATTTGTTTGGGATTTGTACAAAAAGCGAGTATTCTGAAACTTCTATACAAATAACGACAACAAGCTTAGTTTTTCCCTTTGTTTACTTTCTGTATCTGTATGTGAATTGAAGTGAAATTAAGATCTGTGTCTTCAGATTTTGGAAGGGCTTCTTAAATTGCCGGAGAATAGGGAATGCGCTGATTGCAAATGCAAGTATGTTTTTTAAATGACCTAATACTCACTAGCTTGACTTTTTTTTTTCATGTTGATTTAGTCATAATTATTATCCTCTCTCCATCTTTTTTATGTGTTATGTTCATATATTTGTTATTCTTTTGCAATGCAGAGGTCCTCGATGGGCTAGTGTTAACTTAGGCATATTTATATGCATGCAATGCTCTGGAATCCATAGAAGTCTTGGAGTGCACATCTCAAAGGTCTACATCTTCTTCCACATTTATATTAGTCTGTTCTGGGTAACTCGGGTTCATAGATCCAAAACTCTGTAATGATTCTTAATCTCAAAATGGGTTCTGCTAAAAATTTCTGGAACCAATACATTATCCTTTTGCATTCACGAGAATAACATGTTTTATGGTCTAGTTGTGTGGTTTTGAACACAGATATGAGAATGTATGTTGCATTTGTAACTATGCATGTCCTCTTACACCAAAATATGTGCAGATAGTCTATTATTATATTTAACATGTCTGCACAATATTCTTAATCCCTAATATTGTGTTGAAGTTAATAAAAAATGGAGTGCCTATCCTGTTGTAGTGACTTGCATATATTATTACTTTGCAGGTCAGATCTGCTACACTTGACACGTGGCTTCCTGAACAGGTTACATTCATTCAGTGTAAGAATATTTATTTCCCTGAACCCTTCAGATTAACATAATGTGATATTCCAAAAATATAATTCTCTTTGTTTCCCGAAATAGCCATGGGAAACGAGAAGGCGAACAGTTACTGGGAGGCAGAGCTTCCGTCGAATTATGATAGAGTTGGGATTGAGAACTTTATCCGTGCAAAGTACGAGCTTCTTAACCCCAAGGCCTTTTGTCGTGCACCCTTTTAGTCTTGTACCACACCTCGGATCTGCAGGCTATTTTACAACTTATCATATAAATATTTTTTATGAAGGTATGACGAGAAGAGATGGGTACCCAAGAATGGTCAGGCAGGATCACCTGCTAGGAGAATAGAAGAAACTGCTTCTGTCAATTTGCATCAACCACATGATAGAAAGGATAATGGACAAGTCAGCAATTCTGGAAACCCTTCTGATGAGCGGAAGAGTGTCCGGACACCAAGTTCAAGAACACCTAGTGCAAAGGGACATATTTCTGCTGCCACAATTAGCTTTCCTGCCCCCCTAAGAGGACCAGAACTGGTATACTCTGAGTCACTTTTGTGCTTGTGCATGAGTGTGTTGTTATGCCTTTTAAATAAATAAGTTGTCTGCCTACATCCAGGCTTCTCCAGTTCCAGTCACTGAACAAGTGACTCTAGAAACAAAACCAGCTGCGCCGACTGAAACTTCCAAGCCAGCTGCAGAAACTTTATCTCCCCCGAAAGTTGATTATGCTACTGATCTTTTCAATATGCTTTCTATGGATGATTCTGTTGAAAACACTACCAATGTATCTGGGGATGATAATACATGGGCAGGATTTCAGGGTATGTACATTGCTTTTGTTCAACTTTATCCATGAGTTTTCTTCTTTATTTTAGTTACCAGTTTTCTTGTCAGGGGTTGGGGTCTTGAGCATTTATTATTTCAAATTTTCTTTGGGTGTCAGTTGTTGTGCATACAATCTTGTACATTCTGATTTTTTAATACTGTAAAATGACAATAGAATACTTACAGGTGCTGACGCATTGCCATCAACAGCAGAAAAGCCTGGCTCAGCCAAGGGTGATGATAATAAAAGTCCATCTGCTTCTGGAATTGAAGATCTTTTCAAGGATTCAGATCCAATTGCGCCTAGTTCCATGTCAGGGAAACCTCAAAAGGATGTGAAAAATGACATCATGTCTCTCTTTGAGAAGGTATATTTTGTGATTACGCAGTATCCTTTCTCCCATCTTGTTGAATCATATGTGCAAATTCTGCAAATCCACTATAACAGAGAGGATAGTTCTTACTTACCTGCTTCATCGATGTGTACACATTTTCCTGCAGTTGCATGGTTGGGAATGAATCTGTTTGTCCTGATTAGTTTAAGCAAAATGCACTCCCATTAAGTTTTCATTTGTGATTAAGCTGTTATTACTGCTTTTGGCAGTCTTCTGAATGTGATCCATCAATATCATATTTGTTCATTATCCTTGCAGTCCAACATGGTCTCACCATTTGCTCTCCACCAACAACAAATTGCCATGCTAGCACATCAACAATCAGTTCTTATGGCTGCTGCAGCTGGTGCTTCTAGTGGGGCCGCCAAAGCTCCTGCCAACTCACAACAAGGGTTGAATGGAACCAACTTGCCGAATCAAAGTTGGCCTAATTCTGCATACCAGTTCCCTGGCATGATGATGCCAGCAGCTGGAAAAATTGATCTAGAGAAATATATGCAGGTATGGCAGATTTTCGTCTGATGATGCCTTTTGTTATTGACAGTATGAAATTACAAATCGACTCAAATTTCGCAAATTTTGCTTATGAGACAGATGGTAAATGCGGGAGCAACTCAACCGGCTGGGAACTCTTTTGCATTACCAATGTCTAGGTATGTGCTTAACAATTTCTGAAATTCGTACTCCTATCTTGAACCTTTTTCTACGGAAGTGTTGGACAGGGACTTACTTTTGCATCAACTAGATATATCGACACTGCATGTAGTGGTCTCTCTACAGTCTACTGGAAAATGTACTTGTCTATAGGATTATTATTAGAAAAGATTTATGCATCTCTTTTTTTTGGGTAACGCGATTTTGATGCGATTATAATGCGGCTTTCTGATGGAGGCATCTAACAGTTCATTTTTTCATTAGCTATGGCATGCTTAGTTGTTTATTTGTATTTTTTAAGGGAGGATAGACTGGATGAGAGAGCAGTAAGTGTTGTTTTCTTTTCAGTTTTTGATTAACAATTTGCATTAGAATAAACTAAGGATCCCCATGTGGTGCATTTTTTTCTTTTCACATATTTCCTTAAAAATAAAAGAAAGAAAAGAACGGTCAAGAAAAGGCAAATGGCAGTTATTTACCTACGCACTGATTCTATTGCTCCAATTTCTGACAAGGCTTCTATTTATTTTCTCTCATTTTGATTTTGATAAAATGTCGAAACAAGGCATTTGTTAATGTTTGTGGAATTTGAGCAACACCATCGGATCCACTCCCTGTCTTATGTTTTCTTCGTTTTAACGCATCTTTCCCTGCTTCGATGGGTGATTGGTCATAAGGAAGTCTAAACTCACGTTTATCCTTGAATTCTTTGAAACTACGCGCTTTCCTCTCCTTTCGCGTCGTCAATTGAACCTTTCCGAAATCTACGAGTCCACAACATCTTCAACATCACTTTTCGTGTCAATATCGATCCTGCTTATATTTCATATTTGTGTTTCAGCACAAACGCCGTGGGAGCTAATGTGCCTAAAAATACCAAAACACCCTCTGGAAACAGCAAACAATCAGTGGCAGCATCTGTTTCATCAGGTTCTCTTCAGTCGGGAAAAGAGTATGATTTTTCCTCTTTGACACAAGCTTTTTTCTCAAAACATTGAGTTTATTATTTATGTTCTTCTGTTTCTATCATAGCGCACAAAGTCATGTTTTTCATTTGTTAGGTGTGTCCGACATACAAATTTATGTGGCATGAAATATTCCTTATTTCTGCTCTACTCTATTTGTTTCATGAATTTTTATATTAAAGTAGATTACATTATTCATGTACACACAATAAATCAGTTCTTGTTTGTAGATGTCGGATGGATTTTACTTTGTAATGTGGACTGGCGGGTCACTTGATTCTTTTAGTTTTTTATTTGTTTATTATACTTTTGGAAGATTCAAGTTTCATACTTTTGAGGATCTCAACAATACATTTCATACCATTAGTATGTGTATTTGTTAAAAAGGTATGATGGGTCGACAGACCTAACAGTTAGACTTTTCAGTATAAAATTTTAACGACAATGAAGCTTTAGACTGGGTAGGCTTGGGAAAGGTCTTGTAGTTAGGTAACTATTGATCTACCTAATTAAGTGGAAAAAAAGGCTATGAAAAGGCCGCCCTGTGTTAGTTGTAGGTAACTTACAAGAAAAAATGATTGAAAAATAGGTAATGACCTGTGAGGAGCGTAATGGGTGGACGGCCCTCTATAGTTTGTTAATGTACTGAGTATGACTTGTTAGTTGTTCAAACTTAAAGCCTTGGACGTTTGCATCTCTGAAAAACTGTCTTTTTTGTTTTTTGGCCGAAACGATAAAGGGCTGAAAAACTGTCATTGATATTTTATTTTTTGTTTTTAAATTACAATCGAACCTAGGGATGTTTTGTAAATGACTAAATTTCACAGTTTTTTGGGTTTATTTTCCACAATTTGCAAAAAAAAAAAAAAAAAAAAAAA